GTCCTTGGCCTCCCCGCGAGTTTTGTGGCAGAGGTGATACAATTTCTCTACCTTGGTCAGCCTTGGATTATTTGTATAAATGGCGGAAAATAGATCTCGGAACGTAGGCCATTTTAGATAATCGCCATTGAAAGTTTCGATTTCGATTGGGGGAAGACGACTGAAACCACCTTGCTGAGAGATAGGGGCCGCTAAAGGAATGGGAGTTGATGCGTTTTCGACTTGCTCTTGTAAGTTTGTTGCGCATCTCTCGTACACCGAATAGCAATGCTCGTATTTTGCCTGCATGGCTTGCATCGCTTCACTGTCGGGCTCAGTTTGGTTAAGAACCTTGGTGCAGAGTTCACACTCTAGCCGCACCTTTTCGCATAATGTTTTTACCTCGTCCAGATGGATCTTTAGCGAAAACAGAGAAACCTCCACGGAGGATGGAGTATTGATTCGGGCCTCGAATTTGCTGAGACGGTCCGATGCCGCGATAAAATCGTTTAACGCTGTTTTCTTGGACTCAGCCATTTTTTGTCCTACGTTGCGAGTAACGCGTGACTCTGGATTATTTTGAGATTTTGAAGAGGAAGGAAGAGGCTTGGTTTCTTTCTTTGTCGAACCTGAAAGGACCCTTTCGACGGATGACGCTGGAGTTTTTGGACTCGGCAACGGTCGAGAGCTTGGAACTGTGAGACGTTTCTTAGCGTCGCGATCACTGGACATAATAAGCTCTCCCGGAGCTGTGTATGAGAGGGGAACGACGGAACGGAAATGATAGCTTCAGGTGGTCGACAGATTTAGCTTGGCACCCCCGTAAATATCTTTAATTAACGAAATGTTGAAACGATGGAATGGAACACTGACTGTTCGTGTGGAAAATTTTGGCAATGGCACAACACAATTCAAAATAAAAAATAATTTTATTTTTATATATATTTTGGTTAGGTTTTTTTTTTTTTTAAATTATATGTTGTTTATTCTCTCTTTTTTTTTCTTCGGAATGCTGGAATGGAATCTGCAGTAAATAGCTTGTTCACTTTTGGGGTTTTATTTTTTTTTTATTAAATATTTATATATAGTAATATTTATTTTTTTCGGAAAATAATCCAAGTGTTCAACACTCGCTAAAAAGAGTATACCCGCCGTTTGCGGGGTATCAACTTCTGATGCACACAACGGAATACGCAGCCGCTCTCAGCTATGCTTGTATGTACGTATGTATGTTCGGAGTTGGACACGACGAATATTTTTTTTTGTTTTTATTTGCAGATAATTTGTGTTTTGTTTCTTTTTATTAAGTTCCGCTTACGGATTTCATTGCATACGCTAGATTTATTGGATATGGCATGCAATTAAATTGTATAAAATAGATTTTATTGGAATTATTCATGTAAACGCATGCAAAACATTAAGTTAAATATATATGTATATGAAGAGAAGGATTACACAAACGGAATGTGCACAACAGATCGAAGAACGAGTCTGCTCCAATCAGCATATCTACCCTCTGAGGTCGATGGAATGCTAGATCTGCCAACTCCACATTCGCAGAAATTTTCCACTGCTTAATGGGCAGACTTCTGTCAGGCTGCTGATTGGTAATGCTGCTAAGAACCCAGAAATCTGCTACGAAACTATGGTTATTTAACCTGGTGTATATTGTCGTCAAGACTTCACTCCTCGACACCGAGCTTGACTTGCCTACAGATGTCACTGTCAGGCAACGGTTGACCCTTGCCAACCTTAGCGATTGCGCTAGACTTTCTGTCATGAAATTGACCTGTGAACCCGAATCCAACAACACTCTTGCTAAGTGAACTTGGCCAAATCTGTCCCGAACTCTTACCACTGCTGTGGCAAGGATGACATGATCGGGCTCACTGGATGCCTGCTTCACCTGCGCAGGATGGGACGATGCTTGTACTCCTATTGCCTGACTTTCTGAATCTGCGCTCTGAGCTGCGTATCTATGCAAGAGGGTGTGATGCCTCTGTGAACAAACTCTGCACTTAGAGGATGTGCACTGAGATACCCTATGTGCAGATTGGAGGCAATTAATGCATAATTGCTTGCCTTTTGCGAACTCGAAACGCTCCAAGACGGGTATTGCCCCAAATCCCTGGCAGTTTCCGATCGAATGGTTGGCGCCGCAATATACACACTTGGGGTCGATCGACTTTTCGGCCCTCGCGCAAGAAAATGACGATCTGCTGGTTTTCTTGCTGGTCGACGGCATGTCAAACTTTGGTTTTCCTCTCGCTTTGGATGACTCCTCTGCTGAAAGGTGTTGGTACCGGCGGTTCAACATTTTTGCACAATCCGACCAGCAAGGGAGCTCATCGTAGTTCAGCTGCTCCTCATACTTTGGTTTTGTGTATGGGTCCACCTTGGATAACACCAGATGTATTATCATGGCGTTAGCAACCCCTCGCTCGTCTCCTAACGATAAAAGCGACTCCAGAATGGCTGACACTGTATCTATAGTTGATCGCAATGCAGACGCTGACGGCTTGGTTACGGCAGGAATGTCAAACAACTGGGCAAGTGTATCAAAGAATATTAAGCACTTGTTGTCGTACACCCTCTTCAAACTGAATACCCGTGGTTTTTTCTACGGGACGGACGCGCGCCGCCGTCGCTCCTCTTACGCGCCGCGTCCCGGGGCTCAACGGAAGCTGCCGGGGGTGCTTTGTGGACGGGTCGGTCGCGGAGCAGCCCAGGCTGTCTGGCCGGCCGGGGCCCACGATGAAATCTCCTGCAAGCCAAACTATTGGCGTTTTTTTTCTGCCCGGCTGTAGAGGCGGCCATTGAGTGAAATCACTGGCTGCAACTCAGAGTGAGATATTGAGCATGTATTTGCGGATTGAGCACGAGCACGATTGGAGATGCTTGATTGTTGAGGAAACTTCCTTGTTTGTTTGTGTGGAGTCCCACTCAAACGCACACATCGGGCCGCACCCTTGAAGCTCCCGGGGAGAGTTATTTTCTCCTCTCTCCGGCTCAAGTTGCTTGGCGACGGAGTTGCCGGGCTTGGCAGAGGAGTTGCCAGCACGGTACGCTTGCGTAATTTAGGCCCATTAAAACCCTACTGCAGTTCCAACGGGCTTACTGGCTAATAAACCAAGGTGAGCACGGCAGCACGCTCTGCGTTTTTATTATCTTACTTAGTCACTGCGGGCCATCAGCTGCTAACCAGGGCACCTGCAAAATTGGCGATACTAAGCCTAGATCATACAGCGTAGGAGTCCAGATGGCGCTGCCATGTAGTACGGAGGGATACCACCTACCGGCAGAGGGCGCTGCACCATAATCTCCAGTAGTCTCCGACAGATGGCTCTTTATCACCCATCCTAGAAGTCGGCTACGGACCCCTCGAGCCTAGGGGCTTTGTACGAGGGAAATGGACGTATAAGCGTATAAACCACAACGGCGCACTCTGGGGCCATCTTGTACACAACGGGTCGCGGAACTGACCTCCTGCCAACCCCACCGCTACGGCGGCGTTCCCGCAAACGGGGCCCTGGCGACCGAGAAGGAGCGGTATAACTCCCATCGGCAAACGTCGGGAGGAAACTCCCGGCCGTCGCGGGACGCCCCCAGAGAGCCAAATCAGATCCATTAGTACCGCAAGCCCTGACGAAGATGAGCGCATTGGTAGGCATCATACTACCCGTAACACCGAGCCCAGTAAAGTGTTACGTACGACCCACTGGAACCCCCCTTATGAGCATTGGACTTTGGGCTGACGGTGCCGGCATTCTACGACCTGAATAGGCAGGCTGAACCCCTGCTGAAATGGCTCATAGGTTAATGTCCCTACCGCCCCCGTCTCGTTAAAACCCTGGCAGGCCTCGAGTAACGCTTCCTGGTCGTCCCACCTAGGTGGTTGCGTAGGCTTGGTTGATCTATATCCCAACTTGCACCGATCTGGCTCTGAATCCTGGCGCTCATAAGGCCCAGGGTCAACCCTCGCATGGACCTCACTCCACGGAAAGTCACTCGGGCTAATGAGCTGGTCCAAAGGATGAACGACCAGCGGCACGTGGACATCCCGATGAAGGACCTAGCTCTGAGCGTGGTAGCTCTTCAGGCGCTTATCCTCAACAGCTTTGACAAGCTGCACAACAGGTCGATCGGGACCGCCACTATTGGCACCCAAACAATTGCGAAGCCGTCTCTCACCGGCACTAAGAGGCTGCGCGAGTCTCCGCAATTGGCTGAGCCTACAAAGAGACAGAGGAGCACAAGACCGAAGCAAAAATCAACCCAACTCGAGCTGCCGGCGCTGGACCAGGGCGAAAAAACCCCCTCTGGAACAGTTGACCATGGTGCCACCCCAGCCGCCAAAAAGCAACTCAAATGGCAGCAGGTGGGCCCCAAGGCAAGGAAGAGAAGGGAGCCGCGTGAGCGCGAGCCAAGACCGGACGCGATTATAATCCAGCCCCAAGGAGAACTCAGCTATAGTGACATCCTTCGCATGGTCACTAGGCGGCAGGACGGAATGCTACAGGAAGTGGGCAAAAACGTCAACAAAATCCGGAAGACGGCTGTTCAGAGTGGGGACGGCGCTGGCGGGGCAACCGCTCTGTGGGCATTCCAGCCACATCTCAGTGTTAGCACTCCAGCTACGCAAGCGGCTGCCCTCGCTTTCGCCCTCATACTTAAGAGCATTTTTCACCCCGGCGACGCTCTCTTCATGCTTAAATTCACCACGGGCACGCTCCCGCCCACGATCACGCTCCCGCTCTCGCTGCCGACAGCCCTCGGCAGCTTGAGCGCAACTTCCGTCTACGTGCGCTCCCGCTCTCGCTCGCAGCAGCCCTCGGCAGCTTGAGCGCAACTTCCATCTACGTGCGCTCCCGCTCTCGCTCGCAGCAGCCCTCAGCAGCTTGAGCGTAACTTCAAGACACATTTCGCTTCCTTCATCCTAAGCGACACGGGTTACCTTCGCACGCGATTACATATACACTTAGTGTATAAAACCCCTACGAATAAACACTGAAGAAATTGGAACTGCCTATCGTTTTTATCTTTGGGAACTGATCCTGGGACTTCGCAACGCCTCTGCGCTCAAATATTGGTCCTTCGAGCCGGATTTACTGCTTCCCCAAAAGCTTCTCCAGCCTTCGAGCACGGCATCGCCTTCACCAGGAAATCACAAGATAAGTACGCTTGCCTTCTTTACCATAAACCGCCTCCATTTAGCGGTTTGTGCTCCAGAGAAAATTCCGCGAGTTCAAAGTGCCGCGACCGAAGTACATATATATAGTCTTATATATGTACTCTCGCCATCTCCGTTATCCGTAGTGCTTCCAACTTCGCCACCGCCATATTATCGGCAATTCCGGCCGTTCTCCGGTACTTCACTTCGAATTACCAGTAATACGGTAGTTTTTCGTCGGTTTCTTGTGTCCGTCCATAACTCGCGGACAAATTATTTACCAAAATAATTAATTATTTAATACAATATATTAAATAAAAGTGTCTTCCGCGCCTATGTATGTACGCACATTCCAGCCCATGAGAGCGGCTTGCGTACATACACACACACATACATTAATATTTTTCTAGCACGCTCCAAGTGCAAGTGCATTCACACACACCTACATTGATATACAGGTCTCCAAGAGCATTCCATCCGCGCCCTACCCTAATACAATATACACTGGCACACTCCAAGTGCAAGTGAACACACACACATACCAACATATACACATTACAGCAGCAATAAAAGTATCCATCCAGCTACCTGTGTTTTCTTAATTAAATTTATTATTTATTTTATTTATTTATTTATTACATTTACTTGCATAGTTGGCTCCCAACTATATACATACATACACACATTCAACAAAAATACCAAACAATTAAATACCGCATTCCACCACTCCGCGCAAGTGCCATATTTGAAAATCCGCGATTAAGTGAAATTCGTGCCCTCCAGCCACTTTTCGCAAGGTCTCCAATTTCTCCCACATTCTCCAGAGTCCAAATTAATTACTCGCGACCAAGGCACGGCGCATTTTCCGTAATTATTTGGCAATTTACCTTACAAATTGGCAAATTGTGTTGCGTGGTTTGATATTTTTTTTGTTCCGAGAGTGAGAGGTGGCCCAAAAACTATCGGCATCCGAACCCGGTGTTCATCCGAATAGAAAAAAAAATGAGTTAAATAATTAAATACTCCGACCACGTCCAAGAAAAACCTCCAAGTCTTTTTTTGTTCACAAACAAAAAAAATATTTTTTTTGTTTTGACAAAGAAGTTATTGTTGTTCCGTTTCTGTGAGGTGTCCGTGCATGCTTCCATTGCTTCCTTCCATCCGATAGTAACCCAGTTCCGCTCACGACTGCGTCAAGGGGTAAACGGAGGAGCATCGCACAGTCAATATTTCCAAATATTGCTACTCCAGTGTGACCGTTCCTCTCCTCAGCTCGGCTCAATATAGGGTCACTCATTGTTTGAGACTTCTCACCTACAGGTGACCTCAAACAATCCGAGTCGTTCCGATTATTGCCTTCCAGCTAGCTTGAGGCCTTTTGTCTGATAGTCCGTGTTTGGGTTACGGGTGTTTCCTGACGGTTCCGAGTCAACTCTATTCAGACCAGTCTGCAGTCCCTCACAGACTTCCAAAAAAAAAACGATTTTTTCTTGCGTGGGTCCTTTTAAATTATGCTAACAGGTCACAAGGACGGCAAACAACTTTTGCCTGCACCTCGTCCGCCTCCGGAACTACTCCGACACAGCCAATCAAGGCATCCCTCACTCCGAGAGCAGCCAGTAGCAGCCCTGCTACAAGGACCAAATCGGTCCTATTCCCGTCTCCGGTGACCCTTAAGGTTCCATCGGTGACTAAACAGGATCCGAAAGGCTGCATCACTAGTCCCGTCAGCTCTCGCCACTTCACCACAATGGCTCAATCCGCCACCTCTGCCGCTCGGACCAAGTTGGTAGCCGCCATTGGCCGACTATCCCACCTGGCAGAGCGTATCACTTCCGCCCCATCCGCCCCTCTGTCCGAGGTCCGCCGAGGCCAAATCCTCAGCATGTGGACGGACGTCGAGGCCGAATACAAGGCCTGTTCCGCGGTGATGGCTGACGAGGATCCAGAAATCCAAGCGGACATCCGGGAAACATATGGCGAATGCTATGGGGTATTTGAGCAGTGTCTCAGCGACCTCAATGCCCAGCTGGCCCCCTCCGCAGTCCTTCCTCACGCACAGCCAGTCCAACAGGGCGGCTGTCGACTGCCTCCCGTCAATATTGAGGTTTTCTCAGGGGACTACGTCCGCTGGCCCACATTCCGGGATCTGTTCACCGCGGTCGTGATAAACAATCCAAAATTATCTCCGGTAGAGAAGTTATACTACCTCACCGAGAAGACCAGGGGCGACCCAAAGGCCATTGTAGAAAAGTCCCCCTCACGAATGACGGTTTCGAGTTCGCCTGGTTGGCTCTCCGCAGCCGATATGAGAACAATCGGCTTCTGGTGACCAACCAAATTAACATTCTCCTCTTCTTGCCCCGCGTAACTTCCGAATGCAGTCGTGCTTTGAAGGAACTTCAAAGTACGATGCAGGGAGTCCTAAATGCGCTAGCGGTCTCCAACGTTTGCACGGACAATTGGGATAGTCTGCTTGTAACTATCTGCGCTTCAAAATTGCCGAAGCTAAGCCTCGCCTTATGGGAAGCGTCCGTGACGGACAAGAAGTAAGTGCCGCCCTGGAAGGAAATCGACTCCTTCCTCACTCAGCGCTATTTGACGCTCGAAGCTATTGAGAGCGACCCTTCCACTTCCCGAGTGGCTACGAATCCGCCACCCTCCCAAGGCGGCCAGAATCCATCCACTTCTTGCAACCGATCCAATCCATTCCGGTCGCACGGCAGTTCGGTGCCGAACAAGGTTCTTTCTTTCAAGAACCAAGTGAGTCCGAAGAAGAGGACGTGTGATCTCTGTTCCAAGGAGAATCACCCGATCCGACTATGTCCGCGCTTTCTCAACATGTCCGCTGATGCACGTTCCAATTGCATCAAGACAAAACAGCTGTGCCTAAATTGCTTCGCAAGAGGCCATCAGCTTCGCGACTGCTCAAGCAGCCACAATTGTTCCACTTGTGGAGCCAGGCATCACACGCTTCTGCATCGTTCCGCGCCTCCGTCCAACATGGCGGCTTCGACATCCGCCCAAACCCCCAGCTCGTCCAATTCTCAGCCCAACGTACAGAGCTATTTCTCTTCCAGCACAAGTACCGTTCTTCTGGGCACAGCACTCATTAATATTTGCCACCTGGGGACCAATTTCCGTGCCCGCGCTCTGATCGACTCAGGCTCCGAAGCGACGTTCATCACTGAACGCCTCTTTAACATCATTAAGCCACCGTTCGAAGCTATCCAGGCTCAAGTCGCGGGTTTAAACCAAACCGTAGCGGCTAAGGCGCAAAAGCGTTGCCACTTCATGATCGGGGCCGCCTCCAGGCCGGGCCTCAAGATCGAGACCACGGCATATGTTCTGCCTCAATTAGCAGGCAACCTTCCTTCATATCCGATACCGCAGCACTTCTTGGATAACCTTCCAAACCTCCAATTGGCAGACCCTTCCTTCCACCGAAGCTCGCAGATTGATGTGCTTCTAGGCGCTGACATCATTCCTTCTATCCTGTTGAGCGGCTTCCAGTCTGCCATTTGTGGCTCGCTGCTGGGACAAGAGACCATCTTCGGATGGGTCCTATCCGGTCCGGTATCAGCTGACTCGGCTCGGACGGTTTCCGCCTTCACCACGAAGCTCTCGTTTAATTCACATGTCCGACTCGAATCTTTAAGAAAAAGTTGGTTTTGTTTTTTGAGGAAAAATCGTGTTGACCAGTGTAATTGATAAAAACAAACTCAGCGAAAATGATTGTTAGCGAATAAAAAAAAAAATTAAGTAATTTTACCTCTGAGTGAAGCCATACAGCAGAAATTTAAAATACTTTAAAAAAAGACCAACAATTTTTATTTTGACCTATACCTTTTTATACCCGTACTCAAAAAAGAGTTAAGGGGTATATTAGATTTGTGGTAAAAGTGGATGTGTGTAACGCAGAGAAGGAAACGTTTCCGACCCCATAAAGTATATATATTCTTGATCAGCATCAATAGCCGAGTCGATATAGCCATGTCTGTCTGTCCGTCCGTCCGTCCGTCCGTCCGTCCGTCTGTCCGTCTTGATGAGCGCCTAGATCTCAGAGACTATAAGAGCTAGAGCAACCAAATTTTGTTTCCAGACTCATGTAATATCACACTGCTACAAGTGTATTTCAAAATTTCGCCCCGCCCCTTTCCGCCCCCATAAAGGACAAAAGTCTGTGGCAGGCACAATTTTAAAGATACGATAAAACTAAAAACGCAGTATCGTAGAAAATAACCATATCTACCAGATTGCCGAATCTGAATCAGATCGGATCATAATTATAGCCAGAATGAAGAAATGAATTTTCTGTTGGTTCCCTCTCCTTCTCCAGCGCTGCTGACGCTACTGATTCTCTTTCTCGCTCGCACACTCTGCGCGTTCAGTGCGCGAGCAACCCCTAGCGGATGAGATGTAGAATATAAATGGTACATGTACAATCTACATGTTAGATGTGGAATATACATTGTAGATGTAGATGTAGATAACAGATGTAGCAAAGAAATGTAAAATTTTTTTTTTTTTAATTCTAAAAAATCATTAGCTCAAAAATGTATATACAGACTGAGTACGGGTATAAGTAGAGTCGCGTCCCCAGAAGCGACTCACACGTTCCTTCTCGTTTGTATTACTATCAAGTGTTTATAAAAACATTTTATAATATTTTGAAATACAAAAAAATTATTTTTTTTAAATTAAATTGATTTAATTGAAAAGATTTTATTCATTTTATAACAAAATAATTAATATTCGTAAATGAAAAAAAAAAAACAAATTCAATGAGATCAAAATACAAAACTTGTTCTATAAGTTTAACAGAAAATGGTTTAGTTCTTATCGATACATAAGTATATCTACGACATCAACTTTAAGTCTGGTGCGACGGTCCGATATGATCTGTCCAGCCTAGCTGAAAGACCTTTCGGACTTGCACGATGTTGCCGCACCCCCACCGACGTTGCCTACACCACCAGTTGAATACCTGAAAACATCTAAATAC